CCCATAATGCCACAGCCCAATGGGAGAGTCCATCAGTAGCATCGCACAGCATCACCAGCAACCATCCCGTTACAGAGGCTCGAACAGTGCGAGAGGTTCCCGTAACGGATCTGAGAGACGCTGACACCACCGACTCGGTCTCTCACACTGATAGCACCTATATTTCCACAACCAACCGAGTCAGAGAACGCACGCTGCTCTCTGTAACCTCCAACAGCACCTCTGTGTACACTGAGGACTCCAACTCCTCTGATGCTGTCTCTCAAACTTCCAAATGGGAAGTAAGAGTGTCGGGAGCCACCCAGGGCAAGGAGGAAACCGTAGAAGATGTATCTACATTGTCTGAACAGACTGAGCCCACTTTTGAAGATCATAATGCCACCAATGCAACTCAAGGCCACTCTTTGGAGACTGAGTGGTCAACATTGTCCCACGGCACTGAGTCACAGACTGGCCAATCTAATGTCACAGGACAGACCTTTGAGCAGGTGTCTGATAATGACAATCCAAATTCAACACCCCCTCTTACAATGATCAACAGAGATAAAGGGGAAGTGGACACCACATATGTGACTAGTGGGGTATCTTATACAGAAACCAGTGACTCTGTGTCATCTATCCCACCTTTTACCTCCGGTGAACACAATGCCACTAGCACATCCCAACAGAGCCATGATTCCACAGTGACTTATCCCCTGGATACTGATGCTTCCACTGAGTTTTCTACTGGATCTGTCAGCTCAACTGGCCATGAGGAACCCGAAGGGTCTCCAGCCCAAACAGTGGAGGAGACAACAATTCAGGGCGTGACCACTGCACCCCCAGTGCTCGAAGATGTAGCCACCACAACTGATGACTCATTTACGAAGTTCGTTGCTGGCAAACCACCCTTCGTCCCAAACACTGATAATCAGACCAACACAGAAGTGGTTCCAACATCTGCCATGCCAGCAACTCAGAGGCCACGGGTTACAGAGGAAGCCACTGATGAGGCATCTACTTTTTACAGTTCTACCAACACTTTCACTACAATGATTCCTCCCGTCACCACCCGTCGGCTCCAAACGAGCACCACACCGCAAGCCCAAACAGAACACACTACCATCGTTACCACAGATGTTGTTCAGGTGGTGCGGACGACACCCACCACAGCCCAGCTTCCACTTACCTCCCCTACTGGTGGACCTCAGGCATCCAGTACATCTGATTCTGCTGACGTCACCACCTTGCACTTAGAAACCAGCACGGCAACGCCAGGGAACAGTACTGCACATGGCAGACGTGCAACAACACCTTACAGCAAGAGCACCTCGACCAAGACCACTGTGGTGGTAACCACCAGGAATCACACGGACAGAAGCACCACAGAGATGGGAACGACGACCATACAGATGCCTTTTAGGTCAACAGCATCACCAGGTATGTTTGACTTTTGGTGTTTATACAGTGACTTGCAAATAGCGTCATTCAAATCATCATGTTGGTATTATTAATGGTGCTTGTTAAGGATTCAACGATATTACAATTCTGTCTCATAACCGATAAATGGGCAATATTAAATGTATATACACTACCATTCAAAAGTTGGAAATAAAAATATTTCAAATAAGAGCTGCTCTTTTAAACTTTATTTTAACAAAGAATGATTTCAAATATAAAGCAGCATTTGAAATCTATTTTTTTATTTGTATTTTTGATCAAATAAGAGCAGCATTGGCGAGCATAAGCAACTTCTTTTAAAACCCAAAAACCCTAAATGTTAAGTAGTGTGCATTTATCTAAATAAATGGAAAAAATAAATACTTGTACTGTATGAAAAATATACATTTATTTAAAAATGTCATAAAGATTACATTTAACACTATTATTCAATTATTAGTATTTAGTGTTATTTTGTGGAACAAAAAAGAAGATATTTAAAAGAAATTGACTTCCATTATATGAACATGAAACTGCAGTATTTCTCAAATTATCTTGAGAAATCTTTTATGTTCCACGGAAGAAAAACAATTAATAAATGATGACAGAATTTTTATTTTTGGGTGGATACAGTAATTCCTTTGAGTTTTTTAGCAGACGATAGAACAGACAAACAAATCCCATAGACTTAGACTGAAATAGAGACTTGGGTTGGCTATTTTGATTCAGACTAGTAAGCATTACTCTAGTAACTGTATAGCATATTGTTAAAAATTCTGTAGAATACCTTAGCAACCACTCTGGCAACCACACTTGTGTCATAAAGATCTTAATGTTAACAGTTGTTCCACTGTTTACATTTACATTGTTTGTGAATTCACCTGTTCATTTTATTTACTTCTGAACAATTCAAACCATCTCTTTCTCCTCTGTAGATTGTGTGTGTGGGCCTCAAACTTGTGCAAATGGAGGCCGCTGTGTTAGATCAACTAAAGGAAGTTACCACTGCCAGTGTCTGCCTGCATGGACAGGACCCTTCTGCACGGAAGGTAAGGTATGGCAGTCACAAATCTGAATGTTAAAAGTACAGTGACAAACAGGAACAGGAATTGACCTATCCATAATGCCACAGCTCCAATGCTGTAATATCAAATTATAGGTTTTAATTATGCTAGTCACAGGCAAGTGACAGGCTAGACTACATATTGTGGCATGTGGTAATGTGACTAATAATGGACGAATGACCAGCTTCAAACTTTTTTTGTTAAAAAAATGGAGGAAACTGGAAATATTGACCACATAGAATATAATATAACATAAATACATTGAATTATATTAATTTAAATACATCCATTAAAATTTTATTTGTTTTCTATGTGGTCAGTATTTCCATTTTCTTCCATTTTTTAAAACAAGTTTGAAGATGATCACATAACATTTGTCCATAATAAATCTCAAATGCGTCTAGTAAAGTAGTGCTTGTTTTCATCAGGGTTTCGTGACAACAATGACTGATTAGGCGGTGTGTTTTTCTGTAGATGTGGATGAGTGTGTGAGAAGTCCGTGCCCACAGGGTTCAGTGTGTGTCAACACAGGTGGCTCTTTCAGCTGTGAATGTGCCCTGGGCTTTGACTTGGAGGATGGCCGCAGTTGTACACAAGGTAGGTGGCCAGTTGTCTACAATAAAATAATGTCCAGAGTGCATACATATATTTTGGTGATAACCCTATGATACCCTTACAGTATTTGCTTTGGCTTTTCCTTGCAGTGAAGACATTTTTGGGCACTTTCACCGTCAACAGCTCAGTGCATCTCAGAAGTTCAGGTCTGCATGAGCTACACAGAGAGATTTTACAGCTGGTATGCAACATTGTACTCTATCACCTGACTCTCACACCATTGCGTCTCACACCTGACTTCTTCACCTTACAGCCTTACAACCCACAGCCAATCAGCTAATGCAGAAACCAACAGAGAATGTAATTGGTTTAACATGATAAAGTTGCTGACGTTAAACCGAGGTCCTGACTCTCTGTGGTCATTAAAAATCC